AGGGGCTGTATACAGACTGTTTTTGGGGCTGTTTTAAGGCCTACTTTGGGGCTATTTTAGGGCCTATTTTGGGGCGGTTTAGTGGCTAAATTTTGGGCCACTATGGGCTGATTTTCTTGTGGGCTGAAATATGTGCTATATTTTGTCTTTTAAATTAAGTGTGTTTTTGACATAGATTATGTGATAACATGCTTGTCAATTGTGTTGAATATAAATGTTGACACATGCTAGTTGATGTTTTGACATCGTGATGAAATTATGGGGATTATTAGCATATGATATAAATCGCCATGGTAGACATTGATATGTAAAAATTGTTCCTTTGGCATGCATTGCAATATGAACAAGGAATTGGCATCACATTCATGGGCATGAGTCATGAGTGTGGATGTGTGTATGCATTGTTAATTAAACACCATTCTTGGTGATTAATGGGTAGACTCAAAAAAGTTGGGTTGAAAATCTGAATGAGTCACATGGTTGCATGAAAGAAAAACTTCTGTCGGGTATAGCAAGAAGGGGTAGATTCCCCCCTCGGGTGCAAGACTCGGCGACTTGGTTATACATTCCCCTGTAGTGAAATTCCAAAAAAGTGTAGTATGGTGTATGGAACCGGCGGTATAAAATCCAAAATCCGTTGCCCAACAAGACACAAGATTTTGATTTATAAAGTACTCATATAATGAGTAACACCCATTAATGATTTGGTTTTATAATAAAACAACTTTTATTTCAAACGATCATTTGGTGAATTTTTTCGTCAATTGACGGATTCAGTATACCTTGGCATTGCATTGTGTCGTGGGAGTCGATGATGACTTGGGTTTAAGTGTATGAGTGAGTATCATCTCATTTCATGGCATGACATGATTACATTCCACATTTAATGCATATTCTTGTATGGAATGATTGTTAAATGTTGTTTGTTGCTTATATACACCACATATGCATCTAAGGTGGAGAGTAGCCTCTAGAGGGATTATTCTACTGGGCGTTAGCTCACCTTATACTGCAAAACATTTCAGGTGGGAGAGATACATCGGTAGATGGCTCCAATTTGGACCCTCATGTTTGAAGAAAGCCGAATGTGGCTTTATTTTGTGATAATGTAAAACATTTGTGGAAATAATGTTTTGGACATGTAATATTTTGCAAATAATTGTAATAGAACTTATATAGACTATTGTTAAACTAACTTTGCATGTGTTGATATAAATATGGATAATTGGACCCGGTGTGGTCATTGTTGAATATTGGACCTCGGATGGGTCTTGTTATTATATGATTGCACAGGTTGAGTTTTTGGCAGAGCTTCC